GTTGAATAAATTTTATTGACTCTGTCATGCATCTTCATTTACTGCAGAATAAACTAGGGTACATGAACAGGAGAAAAGGAAGCTTTAGGAATATTATTTTATACACTATATACCATCTTTACCTAACATTCTCTATAATATTTCTAGGTAAAGACCAACAGAACAATTTTGATGAACCTTCCTCAAGTAAATGAAGTCTAGGGAATATAACAGGAAGTGATGGAAACTAACTGAAATATTTTGTTATGTGGTGGCTTTTAAGTTTCTTTTCATAAGTAGATTAGATTTTGTGAGCTGCTTCCCACATAGACCAAAAAGCCTAAAAGTGTTTCATTTAAAAGAAAATTCTAGATGTTGATTTGAATTGAAAGTACAAGGCTTTCTTTCCTTTTGACAGTTTGCTTTTGAAAGATTTTTCTTGTGAAATACATAATATGTTGTTGCTGGTTGAATATAATGATTCCTCACCCTAGAAGAAATAAAAGAAAGGCCAAATTTCACTAATTTTACATCTTGAGGAACCTATTTGGGAGCCATATGTGTGTTAAAAAGCAGCAACCAGCATTAATATCAAAAGCAGCTTTTCAAAAAACAAACAAAAAAAGTAAGTGTGGATAAATGAATGCTGCTATGTTCACACTGAAGATATTTTGACAATCTCACATACATTGTTTTAAGCCTATATAGCTTCTCTGTAGCTTTTGGATCAACTTTAACATATCTAACGCATACACATCCTATTAGCATAAGAAAAAAAAAAGATTCACAGGTCTGTCTTATATGTCCTAAAACAAACTAGAAATATAAACTAAAAAAAAAATTCTGGAATGGCCAGAAAACTCGAAATACAACTTGCAAGGTATAATTGCAATTAAATAATATAGGATAAAAAGATTCAGAGATAAAGACCATGAGAAAATTTTCATAATGTTCATTAACAATTCAACATTTGTTATTTATCCCACGCTTGGGTATTTCATATTCACAACTGCGAGATCATGTTTATACAATCCTGAATAGCAAAAATCACAATGTTCAGTTTGATACATATTTACTAAAAAAAGCCTCAAGGATCTTGATGTGTTCCAAATCCATCCCTATGTTATCAAGACAGCTGACACTTGTATGTTGTGACTAAAGAGAGTGTATCCTATTATTCAACGTTCCATCTCAAAGGCCCCTAAAATGATTTATGTATCTTTCTCCTCATAATCCATGTTTTCCAGTTTCCATGTCTTGTACTTATGTCCCTTTAAACAAACTTTCTTGGCAGTTGATCAAGTCACACCCATTCTTCAAGGCCCTGTTCATATACCATTCTTCTAAGAAACCATCTCTGATGCATCCTGTCCTCACCAAGGGGAAGTGATCATTCTCTCAACTCCCATAGCCTTCTGTCTACACTCTTTTGGCTAATGCAGAAGGGAACGGTTCCCACGACCACACCCAGTTTCAGTGATTTTCTAGGAAGCTCACAGGACTGAGCTTATGGTCATAATCATGACTATGATTTATTACAGTGAAAGGATACAAAGCAAAATCAGGAAAAGGAAAAGGCACGTGGGATGAAGTCCAGAGGAAACCAGGAGCAAACTTCCAAATTTACTCCCAGTGGAGTCATACAGGATGTACTTAAATCCTGAAGCACTAAATTGTGACAACGGATGTGAAGTACTATCTAGCAGGGGAATTCGTTAGAAACTCAGTGCCCAAGTCTTCGCTGGGGGCTCATCATATGGGTAACCCATTGCCTAGCATGTACCCAAATTCCAGACTTCCATAAGGAAGGCAAGTATTTTGGGAGAACCATATATTTTTTTCATAGTTCAGGCACAGTGAACCATTCTTATAATTTAGGGTGGTATGCCATGCCTAAAATCTAAGTTCCCAGGTGCCAGCCAAGGGCCAACCTTGCCAGCAGGCCTTTCTAAGAGAAGAGTCTCAAGCCTGGTCTGTTATCTTTTTTGCACAGGGAGTTATTAGTTCTACTTGATTAATTTATATAGATATGTAGATCTCATATATATGATGGGATCTCATATATATATGATATATATGATGTAGATCTCATATATATATGGGATCTCATATAAGCTCATTAAGCTCACTGAGTATATGGAAGTCCTCATTTCCAGTATAGAATATAATTACTGATGGGAAACATTCCACAAATACTGATGATTAGAAAGTTCTGCTGGTTTAGTAGAGACCTGCAAGAGACAGGTAGGAAAGCAGACTCAGCAGTGTGGAGGGAAGTTCTGATATCCCACTGGGGACATAATCCTCTGTAATACCTGGGATTTTCCTGTATCAAAGAATTGGGGATGACACAGACTTGATAAAAATTAAGAAAGATGCCTATTTTGGGTAATACTGCTACTGACCTAAGATAATTTATTATTGTTAAATATACATATTTATTCTTATTCCACTCAGAACACAATGCATATATTGTAACTCACGTCTCAAATTCACTTGCTTACAAAAAGGTTTACAGAGTACTTATTTGGTGCTGTCACTGAGATATAAATAATTAGAAGTCCCATAATAAGTATAGTTAATGCTTGCACAGGGCCAAGCACTGTTCTAAGCACCACTCCAAGAGGTAGATGCTATTATATATTCTCCTTTTATAGATAAAGTTATTAAGGAAGTTAAACAACCTTCCTAAGCAGTTTCTTTGGAATCCATGGTCTTAATTACTCTGTTAAACTGATTATCACACTCCTGAAAAGCTCCTAGTCTTTTTCTTTTTTCTTTGTTTTTGACATGAAAATTATTTTGACAAAATCAGAGAAAAAGAATCTTGATTCCGCTTTAATTTTTTTTCTCCACCACTTTAAAAGTTAAAGGACTCAAATATTGCTAGATTTTGCCATTTTACACTTGGTAGGTTACATGGTCCTAATGAAAACTTTTTCCCTTAATAATTCATGAAAAAGTAGTGAGGACTCAACAACGTATTTAGCATTTGTGACTGTCATTCTGAGAATGAATAAAAGGAAAGTCATATTGGCTTAAAAAAATAAACATGCCCAGAGCAATCTTTTTATCTCTACGGGTGTCTGATGAGTTTTTGCTATTGTACAATTAGACTATTTAAGAAGAGAGCTTTCCATTTCCCTCTGAATGTAATGCATTTTTGTCATTAATTGTCTCCCACACAGGGATGCAATTAATACATACCAGAGCCTGGAAGAACTCAGAGAAGGAAAACTACACTCCTGACTTTTTTATTTCTCAAAGAAGAAGTTAAAAGCTTAAAAGTTATAAACAATCTGCATTATGTCAAACTCAAACAGCGGCTTGGAAATGCAATATGATTGTACGCCTGGATCATGAAACAGTATTTGGCGTGACAAAGGAGTTGTCGGTATGTTTACAAGTGTCTAGGTCGACATTAACATTCAAGTTCAGAAAGACAACAGTGTTCTGCAGTTGTAGGCAAGGCTCTTCACAACGTGACCAAGATGACAGACATCTGAAAGGTATTGTTTTAATTTACAACTACTTACGGAAACCTCCAAGTGACTAATACCAGCACCCTCATGTCACAGAGGAGGCAACTCTATCTCAGGGAGGTTAAGTGACTGCCTCACGGTCACATAAGAAGTGACAGCCCAGCAACGGACACTCAGATCCTCTTTCTCCAGAATTAGTACTAGACCACATTGCCTCTCGAATATTCACGAAGGCACTCAGATTTGAATGTAATTATAAATGTTCAGTCCCATGTGCTGAGATGTGATTCTCCATGGGTCTCTTGTATCTCTGCACGTCTTGTAAGCAGAATCGTTGCCTGCTTTCATTCTGGACTGTCTTTTTAAGGATGCTTGTATAAGGCATAACATTGTAACATAGAGATACTGCTTCCCAGAGCAATGGACAGGCATACTTACTATCTATTGAAGATAGGAGAGTTTCCTAAGTGTAGGGTTGCACTCCTTTAACCAATCCAGTGTGTTTGGAGGAGTCACCCGACCATCTTGGCATTGTCTCCTAAGACCTGGCCTCAGGAAACCAGCTAGAGAAAATGCTGATACTCTGGCTACTGCTGTTTTTCAATGAGTAATGAAGTTCTTTGTTTCTGAAAACAAAATAAAACAAAACAAAACAAAACACTTCCCTAACCTGGAAGTGGATCTGTGTTCTATACTGCCTGTAGCTGACAACTATTTGGGGGGTTCTCTTGAAGTAAAATAATATAAAATTCCAAAATACACAAAATTAAGCTCAGGGCTGTGGAGGGTGCTGGCAAGTGAGTGGCCCTGTAGAACAAGTTCTATTCATGGGAAATCCATCGTTGTCTGAATTACGTTTTTGGAAGTCATAATTTTCTGATTTGATAAATGGCTCTAAAGGACTTCTCACTCCCCAAACACAAAGTCTGTACCTTGCATTGTGTCTCATTTTAGAGAATAGCCCTTGATTTTTGTTTTCTAGACAAAATAAAAATCTGAAGTATCTCTGGCATGCCATTATCTTTTTGACATTCTGGTGTTTTGCTTAGATTTATACAGTCTAGGGAGTATTTTGTTTTTTTCATCCTTTGACTCCATAAAACAAATATGACTAAACTAATGTCTTAGGTTATTTCTAAAACTTGTCCTGGTTAATACGAGCATAGTTGAGCCCAAACCTGTGGAAAAACTGAATTCATGGAAATTGGACCATGAATGTTGATACAGTTTCAAGTTAGGTATGTGACAGCTCCATGATGCTTGAAATGAGAGGAAAAAACCCCCATATTTTGCATGACATTCTGAAAGTAACAAATTATCTTTTGCATATAGCACTGAAACGGAAAATAACAGCTCATTTCGTTGTGTGAAATTGTGTCCTCTTATCACAGCAAAAGCTCAAAATAGTTAAAATCATTAACAAGTCATATTTGTGTACTGCTCACAGATAACAGTTATAGGTTAAACATTATAAAATATTTACTTGAACTCAAAAAAAATGAAAATCAATAAACCATTAAATAAATATAGTTTACCTACTTTTGAAATATTACTTGATCGACTTGCCGATCGCCCGGGGGATTTGTCATTCTGCAAAATAAAATTAGAGACATCGATTAAAAATATAACAATAGTCTTTACTGCGTAGGAAAGAAAGCACAGCACAGGTCAATGTCTAAATGCTAGCATATTTTTCTGACTGATACACAAATTGCTTACACAGAATGGCTTTTGTCTTACCAAATTTTATTTCTCTAGTACATATCATTGTCCTTTTGAAAATGTTTCAATTAACATCAGCGTATATATATGTCTAGGAGTATTTATTACCAGAAAATGCTTGTTTCTGTAGAAAAATATATGCAGTTCCTTAAAAATAAATTAGAAAATGGATATATAGTCCATTATTTCCTCTTCCACTTTTGCTACCAGGAAATTCTGAGTAAATTCTGTTTCTAGTGTCAGTAACTATTGCATACCAGGTACATCGTGCATACATCTAACTCCCGCTCTTTTAAAATAATTTGTTAATTTGCTTTAATAATATAAACATTTAGAAGATACTTTTAATACTGAATGGAGCACTGGGTGTTACACACAAACAATGAATCATGGAACACTACATCAAAAACTAATGATGTAATGTATGGTGATTAACATAACATAATAAAATAAAAAAAAGATACTTTTAAATTTAAAACACTCAATTGTTCAAATTTAAAACATTTAAAAATTATTTTAAAATTTAAAACTTCAAAATAAGTCAAAATTATAGCCTTCATGCTTTTCTCTTAAAGGATTTCCAACTTAGTAGAAAAGAAGCATGAAAAAAGCTTTTGAATAGATAATTTTTCTTTAAAAAGCCTTACAATTTTAAGGCAGAGAGGCACCTTAAAAGTGGAGCCCCCTTTTGGAAGCCCGGAGGCCTTCTTTTCCCAACATTGGTGGCACTCTCGCCCAAGCCGGGGCCACCCCGAGGCCTTCTGTCTTGTCCAGTCTGGTTGTTCTTTCTCCTCTGCCAGTTATCTGCCAGTGGATAATTGACTGACAAATCGAAGTGTATGGGTATCATGCATTTTACATGTACCAAGAGATCACAGTACACCTTTCCTTCTGTAGAGAAAATGTTGGAAGAACCTGTTCTAGAAACCAAAAGTTTGTGAAGCATCTGAATTAACACTTTAGGATTCTTTTTAAAAAAATTTGCTCAGAAAATTTTGGACTGGTGCCAAAGTGGACCTGAGTGGGCACCCATGGTGCATCTTGACATAGGTCATTTTTGAGAATTAAGCCATTCTAACAACCAGTGGGTCTGGAAACTGCCCCACATGACTGCTCCTGACCGTTTCAGAAACAGTGATGACAGGAGATGGCAAATGTCACTGTGGAGAAAACAGGAGCTGCATTTACTGAAAACTGTCAGTGTGTCAAGCCCAGTCTGCAGATATTTCAGCGGAATAGGATTTTCTCCTTGGACATGCAACATCCCTCTCATCCAACCACTGATGTCACTGTGTAGCGTGTTATTACAGACCAAGATGAGTCACAACGATACGATTAGTTACACCTCATAACATGTCCGTGTCCAGCTGGAGATGAATGTATATGCTGCCAGCAGACATTTTTCTTTGATTAGTTTCCTCTGGTGACGGAGAGAGGTACTTTTCTCCTGACATCTCAACTCCTCTTCTATAGAGACTAGAAAGCAAAACCAATCCATCTTCCCTTCTGAGTGAAATTCGGGATTTTGACACACTATTGTGTGAACAGAGGTAAATAAGTCACATAATATAATAGACTGGGGGGGGGCATTTTGTTGTAGTGGTTGTTTTGTTATGTTTTCTATATTTACATGGTATTTGAAAACACAGTTAAGGAGCTAGAATTGAAAGGTGTTTCAGCAAGAACCCAGGAGTACTATAGAAATTTAATATGGCACCAGATTACTTAATTTTTCAAACCAAATAGGACTTTGTGTTGTTTTGAGATAAAAACAAGGAGGATCAGGTTCCCTCCACAATTGTCAATCAATGTGGCATAAAGTTATAGTAAGCAGATAATTCCCATACTCTTCACCAGCAATGCCCAAGCGAATGGGGAGGAAGCATTTTCTTGATTATTTAGTACTTCAAGAAATCTTGTAACCCAAAATCCATTGGTTCTATTTTCTCCTACTAAAAGACTAGGCATTGCAAGAAATAAAGGAGCTTAGGCGAGGGTTACATTTTTTTGCCCTGGCTAAGATCCCTATTGTTTCTTTTTCTTTCTTTTTTAATTATTTTTTTTTCAGTTTTAAAGATTTTATTTATTTTATTTTTTTATTATGTTCAATTAGCCAACATATGATACATCATTAATTTTTGATGTAGTGTTCAACGATTCATTAGTTAAGTGCTCATCACCACATGTGCCCTCCTTAATACCCATCACCTCCTTATTTCCCTCCCTTCTGTAACCCTCAGTTTGTTTCCTGGAGTCCAGAGTCTCTCATGGTTTGTCTCCCTCTCTGATTTCTTCCCATTCAGTTTTCCCTCCCTTCCCCTGTGGTCCTCTGCACTATTCCCTATTGTCTCTATTCCACTTAACATATGGGACAGAGGGTGCACACCACTGCTGTGTCAGAGAGGGAGAGCCTGACTTGCAGCTTGCCCTGTGGTAATGCACTGGCTCTGGCAAGAACGTATTGTTTGACAATCCAGGGCATTCCTCACTGTAACATGTTTCCTCACGGTAAGAGTGAGTAGGATATCTTGGACAATGAGGAGGAGATAATATCTTGGGGATTGTTGTAAGAATCAAATGAGCTGTACATGAACTCATTTTATAGTTTGCAAGGTTATAATATTTCCATTACTGTTCACAGGTAGAGGAAACACCCAAAAAGTTCCCTCATAAATCATGATAATCATCACATGTTACTAGACTCATAATTTAAATGTAAACATCCTAGTTTCTCTGCCCTGCAATTCTGCCTCTATTGTGGATTAGATTCTGGCATGTAAAATTTAAGAAAGAAAAACCAAACTCTTCTCTACCCAAGGGGATTAAGGAAGTTTGGTCTGCCCTGCTTTTGAAGCAAAGCAGCAAAAGCACTTTTGCTCTTGGAAAACATCCAAAGCAAACTGTCTAATTTGCTACTAATTAATTGGGTGGCTTGTCCCATTACTATTGCAATGACATATTCTTCTTTGTAGATTAGACAAATATGGTTGTCATACCTTGTTACCATCAGCTTAAATTCTTTACCTTACATTAAATAGAAGCTGTCTTAGAATCTAATATAAGTTACTGGTACCCAAACTGTAGTGACATTTTAGGTCTCTGAAAGTTGGAACCAACAAGAGTTTCAGACAGGTCTGCATGAAAAGTATGGGATCATCAAGCAGTAATGTTGAGTAGCTATCTTAGCAGACTGATTTTAGCAGATCATTCACAGTATGCAGAGGGACAGACTTCTAATTTTATAAGTGCTTTTTAATATTTTCAAGAGGTTTCCAATTTTTGTTTGATATAAGTATATCTGAAACTGTTAGTTTTGTTTTGAGATTATTATTCACTTAATAATAATTGTTTTTGGAATTTGATCTTACAAAACATGGTTGGATTTTTATTACCAGAAAGAAAAAATGATTACCAAATGAGAAAATCATTACTAAATTGTTTTAACATATTTTTAATGTTATACTCGAAGGAAAATGACATAGTTCCTTTAAAAGGCAATACTCTGTGTTAAAGAATATACAATATGGCTGGACTCGTTTGTATCTACATATGACTACTCTGTATATTATACCATTGATCAGAAGAGGGCAGTAAGGAGACTTGAAGGAGGTTTTTTATGGAACTGAAGGAAAATAACTATTCCTGAGTGAAGAAACCAGAATAAGATCCACACATTTCACTGATATAATGCTATTCTCTAGTTATTTTCCATGGTCCCCCTTACTTCTACCCCCTACCCCTGTCCAGCTAAAAGTCAAGACTACTTGAAAGAAGAAAAAGAAGTGAGGCAATTTTGAAGGTCATCTGAAGAATTCTAAGTAGAAAATGGAACTATTTTTGCTAAGGTAATTAAAACGTGTAATAGAAGAAAAGTCTTTGAAAGCAATGTGGCTTATACACAAAACACAATGAAGTTGAATACTGCAATACACCCTTGATTAATAAACGTATAAAAAACTCATGTCCACTAAATGAAAAATGCTGTTTTTAATGTCTATGAAACATTTAAAATAATTTGCCCTCAAATAATATCTTAACAAAAAACTTCAATAGAGATTTTATAGGGCACCTCTTTTGATATTGAGACAATAAATTTAGAAATAAAAACTTGAAATGTGACTAATAAATCTTAATCACCACTAATTAAAGCATTTTTAGATAATGCTTGGTTCAATGAAATGAAAACTCTCTGAAAAATTGTAGCCAGAAACTCTTGAAAATGTTCTATTAAGACTTGTAGGGAACACAGCAAAAGCTATATCCAGAAAAAATTTATAACTGTAAATGCTTTCATTATTAAAGAAAACAGTAATGAAACCCAGTAAAAGAATGTAGTAAAAAGAAAATAATAAAATATAAAAGCTAAAATTCACTAAAGAGATATAAATAAGAAGAATAAAGAAATATTTTCTTATAACAATAGGTCCTTGAAGATAATTACAAAATAGATGAGTCTCTAGTAAGACTTATTAAGGAAAAGAAAAAGCAGAAATAGATAAAATGAGAAAGGATAAATAACCAAAGACACAGAAAAAATTAGAAAAATTGTAACAGAATGCTACATAAAACACTTATCGCAACAAATCTGAAAACCTAAGAAAAAACGAATCATATTCTAACAAAGTGAAAGTTGTCAGAATTTATTTAAGAAGAGGGAAACTTGAATAGATACAGTAATTAACAAGGAAGAGATTAGATAAGTAAGTAGAAGTCTATATGCTCTAAAAAGCATAAGGGCATGATTATTTCACAAGTGAGTTTTACCTTACTTTTAAAGAACACATAATTTAATTTTCTTTACATTATTCTTGACCATAGAAACATAAAGTCCCTTAAATCATGTTATTAATCTTGCAGAAATGAAACTT